GTCGCACATCTCTCACTACTCTCTCTACTTTCCGCGCTCCCTCAACTTTGACTTGCATGCGCTGAATCGTGCCATACCTTCACCTTCGACATCGAACGCCGGCTTCGCAATTCCTTTATTTATGAACAGCGTTGGACCACTAGATGAAATTAGCGTTTCGTTCTCTCTACGGTTGTGCAAAACGCACCTTTCCATCTGATCCCAAGAGTTCCGCAAGGACGAGGTAACCCCTCCGTCGGCACTACAAGATTCGGTCGGTGGAAACTATGATCGCAATTAGCTTTGCAATGAACACATTCTTAGGACAAGCCACCCGACAAGATCGTTATGAACAGCATGCACCACTGTGATAGATAAGCCCTCCGTCGCAGATATAAGATTCGGTCCAGGCCATGATCGTAACCGCGGCCTTGTCCTTAATAGTGGCCTTGGTCATTGGTGGCCTTAATTTTCGTCCTGGTCGTCGTTGCGTACGAAAAAATAGAAGATGTAGCTAGTGTCATGTACAGAGTTCGCCGAGGGGCGGGTCTAGTCATTGTGGATTGGCTTTGGAAATAAACACAACCAAATAATACTTACCTCCTTCCTCCGACCTCATTCCATACCAAACACGAAACTTCATAGGCGCTCCGCGGCGGAGCTGTTCTTCTGATCGTCTCATGAGAGATGAAGCCCATGCCACCCAATTCTCTTTACTCCATTGCCTTTTTTTGCAACGCCAATCTATGACTGGTGATTGTTAACCAGTGGCTGCTACATCATATACTTATGTTGCCCTCTAACTTCTAAGTCTTCAGGTATACTTATGACTACTAAGGTCGCTCTTTATTATCCCTCATGAGGCTATCAATTACCCTTGCGCTCCCTTGCGTCACTTGACATCCAACCTGCCGGTGCCTGAGATTTCGTGAAACAAAGATCTCACCACGAGAACTGACACGAGGCTTCAAGGGTCAAGGCTTTGTCATTCGCCAATCGCTGACGATTGACTGCTGATTGCTAACCAGATATCTAGGTTGTCGTCGAACGCTCACCTCTTGACGATGTGCCAGGTTATGGAGCTCGGCCCATGATGATTACCTCTGGCATCAATGCGGGACAAGAGATGCACTCAGAGAGAGATATGATCTACGTCGTTAGCTCGGTACGGCTCGCGAGAAGCTGGACGCGGAGACAATCACGCATGGGTTTTTGCGCGACGAACTTACACTGCTGAAGCGTAACATTCGCCTCCTGATTGATTACATTTCTTGGCGACTTCTGATATTGTTTGAATTTCTTTCAGAGACGCCAATTCCCCTTGCGTCACTTGACATCCAACCTGCCGGTGCCTGAGATTTCGTGAAACAAAGATCTCACCACGAGAACTGAAATGAGGCTTTGAT